GGGGGAGGGAAGGGGAAGGCGAGGGGGGAGGGGGAGGGAAGGGAAAGGCAGGGAAAAACAATAAAGTGAAATCAGAAAAGAATATATTATTAAAACATGTTCACGAAGTTCTCTATGCTAAGTGAACTACAGAGGAGTTAATATATTTTGCTTATTCTCTTTTTAGATCTTTTTAGATCTAAGGCCTAGGCCAAGTTCACGAAAAGAAATGTTAAAATTATAAAATGGAACCCTAGAAGACATGCAAGCAGAAAGAAAGAAAATTATATTAAAAATCCCTAATAGCTGGTAGTAGGCTACAGCCGTGGTGTTTAAAGTTTGTGTTGTGGAGATGCATTATGAAGGCAGCAGAGCCCAGTGATGGCAGGTGTATCAGGGAATGCACAGACCGGTTAGGAAAAGCACTCTCCCAAGTTTAAGTAAGGAAGAATCACTGTGGCCAGTGAGCATGAGGATTTAAGGACAAGGGAATAATTACCTTCTTTCTCAGTCTGTCTCAGTCTTTCACTCGGTTTTCCTCTTTCAATTCCTCCCTTTTTTTCCCTCTTTTACTTTATGAGTATTCCCTACAAAGCTTCTGAAAACGGGAATCATGTGGGTACTTAGTGTTTGTCATTTAAAGGAACATTCCAAAATGGAAGAGGACAATCAACTCCACCTATAAGCAAAACAGGAAAGGTCCTGAAAACTTGAAATCAGAGGAGGAACGAAGCAGAGTGAAAAGCATGCTTTAGGCCAGTCCATTGGTGTGATATTGATATTAAATCTGACCAGAACAGACTGCATCAGTGATAAGGCATAAGAGATATAAGGATGAACAGAAAACTCACCAGGAGGTTATAGCACTACGGAACCTCGATCTGCCCAACGACACAGCTCTAAGGCACTGTGGGTTTCACACCCTGACTGCATGAATGTGAACCCCAAGCTCCAGCATCTATTAGCTTGCAGACCTTAAGTAAGTTGTTAAAACACTCTGTGCTTCAGGTTTCACATATCGCTAGTTGGGAGCCAAGCGATGCTCATGACACTGCTGCTAGCATTAAGTGTGCCGGAGTGATGCTGCGGATGCCCAGCACGGGGAACCGGCACCAACCGGCATCATTACTGTTGTGGTTCTGATCGCTGCCTCAAAGCATACGTAGAAAAAGTAGGAAGAAGCCAAGAAAGTTGTCATGCCAGTGACCTTGTTGGGAGATTTTTAACTTTCCTGTCTCACTGCAATAAGTAACCCTGAAAATACTGGAGAGAGAACACAGCTGCAATAAATAAACTAAAAATATTTAAACAGGCCGTCTTGTCTTCAAAGTTACTGCAAAATAAAAAATAAAGCCAACCTAAATAAAAACACAGTCTACATAACAAAACTGCAAAATGGAAAAATAAGATAAGTGGAAACCATAATATGACAGACTTTAAACCAGGCACGACTATAAATATAAACGACTTCGGTTAACATATGGCAATACAGAGTCTTAGATCATCTTAAAATGCAATATTTGATCATTATTAGGGACTGATATAAAAGTGAAACAATGATCTAAAAAGAGAATAAGCAAAATATATTAAAAGCATAAGTAAAAACTATGGTTCACATGACACTTAGACGATGAGGTAGGTTACCAGCTAAAATTATAGATAGCATTGTGCCGTTAGTGTCTGACGGACGCAGCAGTATGTTACCATAGTATGAAAAATACCACCCTTAAATACCTTCAAATGTGCAGAAATCCTCAAGAAAATTAATGCTGAGTAGCTATTCCACAAACTTTTACTACAATCAAATAACTTTTATAAATTTATAAGAAACATACATTTGAGGCATGTATACACCTGTATTTGAGATTGGCTTTTCCAAGCCCAGTTCCAAAACAAGGACTTGAATGTCACCTCCTGATGGCTTACTTCCTTGGATAGCAGGACAACCCCCTGTTCAGGCCTAGCCCCTCTCTGAACACACATTGTAAATGGGGAGATCATGAGAAGACTTCCGATGGGCCTCCTGCTTGGGGAGCTGTAGGCATGGATTCACCCAGACTCACAGTAAACACTCAGGAAGGTGCTGGTTTGGTTACCAGTTACAACCTGGAGCCAGCAGACAGGTCTACAGATGCCAGGAGACTGAGAGGGACAGGTACAGGAAATGGGGCACATTGACAAGGACTTGGAAACCAGGGAAACTGACAGCTCTTACTGGGATTTCCACTCTCTCGTTGTCCTGAGTGGGTGAGTGAACCTGCCTCGTGAGTCTGAGGCCCCCTTCCATCAGCCGCGTCACCTTGCTGGTAGTAAGTCAGATTGCCTCTTCTACACAGTACAGGGACTGGGGAAGAACCAGTCTCTTCTCTGTGTGTAGATCTCCTCTCTCCATCTGAGTTCTCTGCTCTAAAATTTAGTCTCTAACCCCAACTGTACCGAGTCCCCATTCCCTAATGGAGCGGAGATTGCTGTAAGGGTCTGGCAGGAGACCATTCAGCAGTACTGAGGGGGAGGGATGTGACAGGGGGAGACACATCTGCCCCTTAAAGAAGCCAGCAAGGGAGGGTTACAGATAATCTGGGATGTCAAGAGGCCCATTCAGGATCAGCCTGCCTGTCATTATTCCTTTGTTTTCTGATGACATCAGCATTGTTCCTGTCCCTAAACTCCAGGAGACCAGGTGTGGTCCTCCTTGTCTGTCGGCTCGGTTCCAAGACATTGTATTTCCTATTGAGCTCTTGTTAGATCTTTGCCTGACAATCTATTTCAACTGGCTTAGATTTTCTTTCATTTTTTTCTTACATGTGTGTTTTCATTATGGACGGATAGATAGATAGATGATAGATAGATGATGGATGGATGGATGGATGGATGATAGGTAGGTAGGTAGATTGATTGATTGATTGATAGATGATGATAGATGGATAGATGGATGGATAGATAGATAGATAGATATAATGTGCTTCCTGATCCTAAATCTTTTTCCTTTTTTAACTTAGAAAATTGTTTATATTTTATGTACTTGAGTGTTTTGCTTGCATGTATGTAAGTGGACCATGTGTGTGCATTGCCCACAGAGACCAGAAGAGGGTGTTGGATCCCCTGGAACTGGAGTTATGGATCATTGTCAGCCATCATGTGGGTGCTGGGAACTGAACCCAGGCTCTGCAAGAGCATCCAGTGCTCTCCATTCCTGATGTGCTTCCTGAATCTTTTTGAAGTTAAAAAAAGTTGACAAAATAGAAATGAATTCTTAATATGCCCCCAATGTGATATGTGACCAAGAGGTCTGACTGTTGAGTTATTGACAGTCTTACCCTCACTGTTAAGAGATTAGAGGCATCCAGCGTGCTCCAAGCGACTGGGTCCATCGTGCCTCCATAAAGTGCTGAGCGCCCTGCTGCCCCGAAGCAGGAGGCAGAGCTGTGTGGCTTCTCAGCAGGTTCTGCCGCACTGCAGTTTTCACACCATGCTTCTTTTCTGTGCTTTCAGGTAGAGATTGAGAAGCTGGATTACCATCATTACCTGCCTCTGTTTTTTGATGGGCTCTGTGAAATGACATTTCCCTATGAGTTTTTTGCTCGGCAAGGGATCCACGACATGCTGGAACACGGGGGGAACAAGATTCTACCTGTCATTCCTCAGCTCATTATCCCGATAAAAAGTAAGTGAGGAGGTGAAAAAGTGTCACTCAACTTCCATGGTGCTGCGCTGCGACAACCTGCTAATTAAGCAATAAACCACAACCGACAGAGGCGATCCCCAGGTTTTGTGGGAATTTTTATAAATTCACTTATGAAGCCAGACAAATGAAATCTTTGAAAACATCCCCAACACCAGGTCTATGCTGTGGTTTAACCACTTAGAGAGAACCACTTGAGATTTACACTCATTTAAGATATGGCAGGTGATGACAGAGTTCAGACACAAACGTGTCCATTCAGAGCTAAAGCGTGTGGCGTTTCACATGCACTGCAGCTAAACCCCAAGTTCTCACTAAGTGGTGCCCCTAATTTGTAAATTGTGATAGGAGCACAATTTTCTTGAGTGCCTATTCAGTGGTATGATCCATCATTCGGGGAGAGGAGAAGCCTGGAATGGAGAAAATATTTCCTCAGCACAATTTCTTACGTACGGTGGGTTCTGGCAGTGACTCTAAGGGGTTAGGTGCCTAGCATTCTCTATTACATGAGAGTGTGCTTCCTTTGTCCACACTTGCTCAGGCATGAACACCTCCAGCTTGCCTGAAAGCAGCCCCTTCTAAGGTAGTCCCGTGAGCTCTCCCCGCCCCAGTCTCCACAACAGGACTCTTGGTTGATTTCTATCCAATCTTCTTACTGTCTGTCGGTGCTGGTAATAAAGCCACTGTAGGCCACCCACGTGTTCCCCATAAAGACTTGGAGAGGTTTTCCCTGTCTTCAGTCAGAGCTCCAGGACCAATTTGTCATCAGCCATCACCATGCCCTGTCGCTATGTCCAGTGGTGCTTGCCCCAGACCTCCTGCTGTCCCAAGCAGAATGGCTGCCGTACCTTCTTCTGTCACTGCTAATTAAAAGCAAGGGCTCGGCTCCTCTGAGCATTCCGCCTGGGGTGAAGTTCTACTTTCCTCACTAGAACTGCCTGAGGCATTTCCACCTCCCCATTTTGGCCCAACTGCCACGTGGCTTCCATGGGTAACAGGGTCCCTGCCTCCCCTCCCCAATTGCTGCCCCATCTCCTCTCCAAGCTAACTGCCTCTCAAAGACTGATAGGCCCCTGCCTGAGCGTCCATGGTTTGGAAGCCCATCCGTGTTGGCTTGGGTGTGCTGTGATCACATGGTATGGCCAAAATGAGACCTAATTAGTTCAACGTGGCATCATTCACCGGAGCCTGGGTTACTAGATTTTACTCAGGGTCCTCTTTCACTGAAGTGAGCATCCTTAGGATTGTGAACTTCAGCATCCAGACCTCATCACTACTCACAGGAGTCAGCTCTGCAGCTTTCTTTGCTGTCTTTGAACTCTTCCCAGAATGGTGACTTTCTGGCACATTTCCCTCAAAGCAAGGAATAAAACTACCTCATGGAAAAAGAAAAGCCCTTTAAGTCGGCCCTTAATAACCAGCATCACTCTTTCCCTCCTACATGATCTGCTTGAAGGGTGGTCTCTCCAAGGCTCAGGGGGAGACAGAGGGCCGAGCACAGGCAGGCCTTTTCCAGTTGTGATCTGTCCTTTCCACCGGGACACAGTTTAAAGATACTAAATTTTCAATGAAATACAACATCTCTTAAAGGAAAAAATGCAAGTTTCACAGATAAACAAAAGCAGGCCAGAGTGTTCTCTCTGGGACCTGTGTGACCCTTTTCATTTGCCTGGCTTCATACGTGAATTTATAAGAGCGAAAATAGCCAGATTGTTGTCCTTTTCTTTAAAATAAACGCTGGTGTTCAGATTGCTACCCCCACTCTTCCCAATGAAGATATTGAAGGGCAGAAAGCAAGGTGTTGCACAGTATTTTATTTTTTACTATTAAAACACACAAAATCAGAGAAGGGCAGGCTAAGGGGAAGTGACTGTCAGTGCTGTTTGATCTGTGTTTGAAGACGAGTAAATGAATTAGGGAGAAGCAATGCATTATGGGGACAAAATTGATGGCACCCACCTATCAGAGGTCATTTGCTGATGAGCGAAAGCATTATGAAGAACTCAGTAAACACGATTTGTCAGGGAAAATTAACCAAATATGCATTTGACCTTTCAAGATTCCAACAGCCAGGATGATTTATCCCGCCGCCTGTCACCGTATGGCTGTCCCAGATGTTGTCATTGTGTGTCAGTTCTGGTCCTCTTGCCCTGTTCTCAGTCTGTGTCACCAAAAGCCAAACTTTTCTCAGGAAGAAACGGTGGTTAACTACAGCGTTGTGCACCATTCCAGCACACTGTGGGGAAGATGCCATAGACTGCATCTTTCAGGTGGAATTCTGGACTGAGGCCAACTGGACCAGAAGCGGACGGTGCACATGATCGGCGCGATGTGTAGCAGCTACATGTACCTTAGTTTCAAAGCGTTCTATTGCTATAATACTGATTTTATCCAGGGGCAAAAGTCGACCTAACCATCACCAGCTAGCAGTTCTAAAGAATGTCTATGAAGGCAAAGCAAAATAGATTGACTCACTGCGTCAGAGAACAGGGACTGAGCTCCTCCGCAGAAACCCCAAATCTGGGATCGGTTGGAGCGAATCACAAAGCTGATAATCTGGACTGTGATATGGGTACGCCCAGTGGCTCTAGGATTTCCAAACTGGAGAAACAAAAGTACAATTATCATTTTCTCCTTTTTCCCACTCCTCTATTTAAGACCCCAGTTTTTCCAAGCCTTAAAAAAAGAATCTCAAGTTTTGTAATCACCAAATTAGCATCGGCCGCCTCACTGCCTGTCTGTCACGTTGTGGCACAGCTGCCTCTGCCCCTTTCTCTCAGTTTCCACTTCTTCAGCTATTCTGGGCTGGAAACTCCAGAATATTCTAGCATAACGTACTCAGGGTCAGTAGCAGAATATTCTAGCATAACATACTTGTGGGCAGTAAAGGACCACACTGATTCCTGGGAACAATAAGGAAAATGGCTTCTAGCAGTCTGAACGGGGGGTTTGGGTTTATGTTTAATCTGTCCAGTTAAGAAAAGGAAAATCCATCTCAGCCTAGGAGCGCAGTGCCAGGAGCACATCTAGAATCTGCCAGTCAGATTTGAAGAGGATTGAACTAGTGGGCAAGGCAGGAGAGAAGGGTCAGGAGAACCACAAACTGTGTTCTTCTCTGATAGAAGGAGGAGCCATACCACAGCCAGTGAGGGGGGGCATTGGAAAACTCACCACACCACACACATAGGTACCCACACGCAGAAATACCACAACAGCATTTAGTATTGGTACCAGAAGAACCACGTGGGATGTTGTTCGAGGCTCAAGATTCAAGAAGGTACTGCTCCCGGGACAAAAGCATGAGTCCTGCAGCGAAGACTGAACTCACATGCAGATGAGCCAGTTGGAATAGGGTTAGGGACCTAAACTTGCCAGAGTAGTCTCCAGAGGGGCAGAGGGAATCATCAGCTCCTACACCAGGGCACAAGCACAGGTACCAGCTGATGGGAAGCATCGAAGACACAAGAGGAGTGAGGATGAATGGAGAGGTAGGACCCAAACACGAAGTACACGGTGTTCCCAAAGGAAGTGCTGTGACAACAGGACAGAAACCAAGACAAGGTGAGTGAAAGACATTTCCTGGGAGGAAAATGAGCTTTATTATGCCAGTCAAAGGGGCTCATACTCCGAAGAAACTCAATGGAAAGGAAAACCACACCAAAGCACATTTTGCAAAAGAAGGGAGGGAGGAAGGAGGAAGGAGAAAGAGGAAGAGAGGAAAACTTTAAAACCCCTTCAAACAAATAAACAGGGAAGAAGGGACTGGACATAAAAAAGTTAAGGTGACTAGAACTCAGACTTTCTGCAACCAAAACCCCCATAGAACATATTCCAAGGCTGGTGGCAGAACTGCCCTTGACACTGATGTTGCAAGAACTGAAAGGTCTATGCACCCTGCACACAGGTTGTCCAGGACACACCCCAATCCTAAGGAAAAGAAAGCAAGTTCACAATTCAAAAGGAGGACCTCCAAGTCTGAAAAGCCCGTTGTTGGGAGTCACCACCCCTAGGTTGTGCCTAAGGAGCCGAAGGAAAAGTTTCCCAATTGCAGGAAGCATCACACTAATGTCTGTGGTGACTCAGCCTTCAGGGAACCTGGAGTCTCCATCTTCAAAGCTGATGCACAAGGCAAAGGTTGTGAGTGTGAAGCCAAGAGGTGTGGAGAACCACAGCACAGAGTAAGATGATGAACATGAAGCCAGTTACACCAGCTACGAAACTTGACTTTCAGATTTGCCAATAAAGCCGCACTGTGGCTAACGACCATCCATACCTCCAGTTCCACAGAATCCGACACCCTCTTCTGACCTCCATGAGTATGGCACAACACAGGTGCACTTACATACATGTAGGCAATACACTCATACACATAAAAATAAACCATTTTAAAAACACAAAATATAGACTAAACATAAGCTCTGTTAAACAAAATACTACTTAAATATTTATAAAAGAAAATATATGGTAGGCAAATTTAAAAGGAAGAAATAGTTATTTTGAGAAAAATAAATTTTGGAGATAGATGGCTCATGGGTAAAGCACTTGTCATAGAAGCGTAAGACCTGAGTTTGAATCCCCAGAATCCACGCAAAGCCAGACATCATTGTGCACATCTGTAATCCCAGTGTCCCTGTGGGAGGTGAGAGGTGGAAACAGAATGCCTGGAGAACTCCACAGAAAAACAGCAAAGAAGACTTCTCAAACAGGTGGGAGATGAGGATAGACCGTGACCATGCACACCTGGATCATACACATATACACACACACACACACACACACACACACACACACACACACACATCATGCACCAAAACATTTTTTCAAAAAAAGTTTTAATATAAAGAGGTTTCAAGTACATAAAGAAGATTAGTTTATTTTGATGAGCATATTTTCAATGAAGATTTGATCTTCATGACCCTCTGTGCCCTGAAAACTAAGAGATAACATTTGAGGAGCCATCAGCTACATAGACAGATCCTTTC